TGGTAATTCTGTGTAGAATAGACTGTGGGAGGAAAACAAGAAGAGCTGGAAAATCTGTTAGGAGACTACCAAAATACTCTACCTTAATAAATAGCCTACAAGAACAGGCTACATAATACCCTACATAACTAACTTACGTTGGAGAATTAAAGGGGATGGCAGTTTGGACTGGGAGGTTAGCAACAGAGGTGACAAAAAAATCTTAAGATTTTGAATTTGTTTTGAAAACTTAGCCATCATTTCCTGACAGATTGGATTTGGGAGGCATGAGAAGAAGAAAGAGTTAAAAAAAAACAAAACTCCAAGGCTTTTGGCCAATAAAAGCTGACATTTACAGAGATGAAAAATATATAAGGAAGGAGGAATACGTTTGGAGTGTGAGGAGATTATTACAAGATGCTTGTAATTATATTTTTAAATAGTTTTATTCATTAAAAATATTCTACCCTTTAGCTTGCTATGGGGGGAATGTTTGTGTATTTCCAAAATTCATGTTAAAATCCTAACCTCCCAAGTGATGCTATTAGGAACCGAGGGGAGGTGATTAGAGAAAGAGGGTGAGGTCCTCATGAATAGAATTGGAGTCCTTATAAAAGAGGCCCAAGGGAACTTGTTTGTTCCTCCCACCAGGTGAGGCTGCAGGGAGAAGGCATTGTGTATGATCAATAGGCCCTCACCAGACACCTAATCTGCCTTGATCTTGGACTTGTAACTGTGAGAAATATATTTTTGTTGTTTATAAACTACCCAGTTGATGGTATTTTGTTATAACAGCAGAAACTAAGACAAGCCCTTGGTAAAATCAGAAGTTGGAGAATTAGAGCATGCAGGTCAAATCTGGGCCCCCACTTGATTCTCCATGGCCACAGGTAAAAAAAGTTTTTACAGGTGAACACATTTACAATTGATTTGATTATTGAGACCACTAGCTTTGAACCTTAATTGAAATATAACCCTCTGAACTTCTTCTCATTAGTAGAATTTTATTATTGTGTTATTTTCTTCTCAATATCATCACTATATTTTGAATTTTGTCAAATTTAACATTTGTGGAAATGTGTTTTTTCTTATTATATGAGAGCCTGCATAACAACCTCGATGTTTCCCCTTGGCCCACGATGGCTGTAGTATTTGTTATCTGGACCTTTATATAAACTATTTGCTGACTCCTGTTGTAGATAAAGTATGCATAAAAATCTCCTGGGAGCTATGAGAAAAAAATGTAGATTTCTGTTCTTCACCTCAACATCACCACTGCTAGATCAAATTTGATTCAGTTAGCCAAGGGTGAGTCCTAGAAATACAAATTTTAATAAATACTCCAGTTGATTCTAATACACGTTGAACCACAGTTTCAGAAACACAAAAATGCTGAACAGGTTTCTTTTAACTGTCTTTTAACAAAATGTGGGCCAGTGCCTACACACCACACCAGCATGCTGGGAAATATTAGTTCCTAATAAAGATCTTGCTGGAGTGAATTGCTACGGGGATCACACTTGCCTGTGGTTCTTTCCACCTGTTCAATAAGCTTTCTTTGGACCACAGACTTGCTTGCGAACAAAAGCTTTGTTTTTGGACTAAGAGGTTTGTAATTCCTAATTTGAGCCCCTATGATAATTGATGCATTGCCATTCTTGGGATCCCTGTAAGTGTTCTTATCTCCCTTACTTTATCATCTTTATTATTATTTATATATACATGTAGGTATACATGCATGCATCCACCCGCACATTCACCCATCCATTGATCTATTTGTCCATCCAATTTCCTTGCAAACACAAATATTTTAATTTGACTATATTTAGAACAGTCCTCCAGCCCAATTACCATTCACATCTTGAGTTTTTAATAGGTATGATCTACCATTTGTGCCACGGTAAATTTAAAAATTTATCAATGCACCTTGGAAAGAGCAAATTTTGGGCATCTAACTGAGTACAAACAACAAAACATAGGGAGCTTTAAAAATCAAACCATTCTAACACATTTCAGAATCATTGTTATTAGAAGTTAAAAATTATTGCTTTAATACCCTAATCTAGGAAGTTTTGGAGCTTTTAGGTGGCACATATGAAATTAAGAAAGAAAGCAGTAATTTGTCTTCTGAGACAACTTCTAGCATTAAATACTGATACTTTCTAATGAACTTTCAATGGGTGCCACAGGTTCATATTTCCAAGGGCCAAGCCTTTCTTTTTGCCACCTCTATTACATTTTCATTGTTCCTTTGGATCTACATTGATGGTGCAACAGAGAAACATGACTCTTCTTTTTCAGAGTTTTTGTAAGAGATTTCAATGAGGTTTTTTTTTTATCCTTTTGTATCTAATCATCACCTTTACAAATGTCTGTGACGGCTCTCTCCCTGGGGAGAAAGTATTAACTAGCATCTGACACATATACCTTTGCCATTTTTTTCAACTGTAAAATTCATTTTTTTTTATTTTCAGATCAATTGATCTGAAACTCCTCTCTGTTTAATAATGAATTCTTTATACTGACTTAAGTTATTTAATATAATGTCCTTAATTATTCACTGAGGAATTTTTTTAGGGACAGATTCTATATTGTTTCAGGTATTTAATAACATTTAAAATTTCATCCAACAACTTGAACAATAGATAATCTTTGCATTTGTAGCAAGAATAAACTGTTTTACCAGACAATGTTAGCACTACTCTAAAAATACGGGACCTGAGATCAATTAAAACATAATTGTCACAACCTGAATTTCTTAGCCCCAGATTTCAGATAAAATTTCAAGCAATTACTTGAATCAGAAACTCAGTTTAAATGAGATTTATGAGGAGAATTGCTTTTGTGGGGAAGTTGTAGTCCTGTTTCCCAGTTTATTTATGACCTTAAAATGTACTCAGGAGATATTTTTGTCCTTGAGCATTGCAATAAATTATACACATGCATCTCTACAATCTAAAGATTAATACAAACAGTACTCAGTATTCTGAGAAAATTATTCTGCCTAAAGTAAAACCGTTTTTCATTTTGGAGACGAAAGTAAGAGACATACTTAGTTTCTAGTTTTTCATTCTTTCATGGTTTGTTTCACTTATATAAAAATATAATAGATGTTTCAGAAAACTGTATCTTCCTACATATTTTTACTCTTTAACTGAGAGGGTTCACATTATTGTAGTCTGTCTCCACAAAACAACCAGATAATTTCATTGCCTATGTTAAACTTCAGAAGTATTTGGCAGTTCTCTTAGCATTATTTCTTGTTATTCTTGGAGTATGATTTCATACCACAAATTTATCCCACATTTGCAATATATATTTCTAGATGTATTCCCTAGTCCTTGATATTCATATCCAATGCATGTATACATTATGAAACCACAAGTCCAAACAGACCCCATGGTTTTGTCGTTGGTTTAATTAGCATCATTTTTAAATTTACAATTAAAAAAAAAAAATCTTTAGCTCAATACAGTCACTCACATCTAAACAATTGACAAGTTTCCCACCGTGTGAAACTTAACACGCAAGTCATGAAGCTTTATCTCACCAAATTGTACAATATCACACACATACACATCTAATAGCTACAAATAAATTTCTAAGGTCATGTTTAGACAAACTACATAAATCAGAAATACCTCATATATTTTTGAATATTCAGCAAGGATTGAGATTCCATGAGGGAACAAGATGGTAGAGAGAAGTAGATTAGCACCAATAATTATTTGAGCAAATTTACTTACAAATGAAATACTCCTGAGGTTTAGTGTCACTACAGTAGTCTAATCAATGATAAAAATACCCATACGAATTGAAATACAAACTGTTCGTGATGTTTGTATTCAAGTATACAGTAGGTAGGACTTTAATGTCTTTAGTATTAGTATACACTTCTAACGTTTAAATTGTTTATTTCTGTACATCCTTTCTTTTAATTATTCTTGAGTTAATTTGCAACTTCCCTATTTTTTAAAAAAGTTCAGCAATAAATAGGGAAACAAATTATTCATCTTGACTTGTGTTGCTTTGTAACCATCTTTAGTGTAATAAAGCTGCCCTTTGAGACAAAAAGACTAAAGTAGGTACCTATTTCCTTACTTATAAACATGAATAAATGATAGATTTTTGTGCAATGAGACCATTTACTGATATAGTCTAGGCTTCCTGAGACACTGATAAAGAAATGCTTGCAAATTCCTCTCTGTGTTTGTTTTATTCAAGGATTTAGTATGCTCAATATCCTCAAAGACAGGTGACTTAAAAAAATTATGTCATTCTATGTAAATTAACTTAAATTACTTTTTAAAATACTGATTTGTAAAGTCCTTGATTTTCAAAAGCATAATTTATCCCTTCAGAAATTTTAATTCAATCACAAAAGGATGTAAAATTATTTAGTTTACAATACAGAAGACTTATTTTTTCATACAAAAGATGCCAACATCTTGTGCTTTATTTACATTAGCTCTGAACAGAGACAGTCAAGTCAGGCAATATCAGCACTCATCCCTTATCCTACAGTCTCCCTAAAGCACTAAACACTTTTTAAAATTAAATAATCTAAACTGTGAAGTTCCCAGATTTTGATGCGAAATTTAGTGAGTAGACTGATCTTTTCTACTTAATATTTTGAAACTGACAGCGACTTTTGAGGGTGAAAGTATTTGGAGTTCGTTTTTTTTAATGTTTTATAAGAATGATATCTTCAGTATTAGTACTTTGAATTTGTCAGGTCTTTATTTTCTCCTGTTTCCAATGGTAGCTAGAGGATTTTTAAGTACTATGACTCCCTGGAACCAAGAGGGATACATTAACTCATGAAGCTGCAAGGAATCATTTGTTAAGTTACATTTCGTGGGCAGTAAACAAAAACCTCAAATGTGTAAGAATTAATTCACTGCAAATGAGCATGCTCTTGTACCTCGGGGATTACTGTGGTCATATGGTTCAATTCAGGAGCAATACTTTGTGAAATAGCAGTGGTCTCGAAGTAGCATCCCAGTAACTTACACAAAGTGTTGCTTTACAAATAGAATGTTTTATTGAAGTTATGCCAATTACTAGAAGCTTTGTCTGTTTAAGATAGGCTCATCAATCAAGTATGAAATACAAAAATAATGAAAAACCAGAGCATGAGAAGGAAAGCATAGAGAAAACCTTAACACTATAAGCACTAGTCTATGTAACCAACAACACTATGCATAATCACCAGTTTGTGTAACCAATCAGTTCTCAATTTTATTTCTTCACAGGATGGGCCTTAATACAAGTGGATTATTCTGTAATAACTTATTTCTTTTGTCAAATATTGAGGAAATTGAAAAGCAAACAAATGGAGGGATATAATTCACAGATTATGAATTCATTCATTCAACAAATATTTGCAGAATGCCTACTATATTCCAGATATTGTCATAAGTGCTGAAAAAAAAACGTGTTTTATCTATCTGCAGTCATTTATTGACACATTTCTAATTATTCCCTTCAATTAGGCCACTTATTCGTCAGGCCTTTATTTTCTCATATTTCCAATGGTAGCTTGAGGATTTTTAAAAACTTACTTTGACTTCCTGGAACCAAGAGAGATATATTAACTGTCACGAAGCTGCAAGGAATCATTTGTTAAGTTATATAGAAGAGGGTATTTGGCTGGGGGTGGTGGCTCACGCCTGTAATCCCAGCACTTTGGGAGGCTGAGGCGGGTGGATCACGAGGTCAAGAGATCGAGACCATCCTGGTCAACATGGTGAAACCCCATCTGTACTAAAAATACAAAAATTAGCTGAGCATGGTGGCGCATGCCTGTAGTCCCAGTTACTCAGGAGGCTGAGGCAGGAGAATTGCTTGAACTCAGGAGGCGGAGGTTGCGGTGAGCAGAGATGGCGCCATTGCACTCCAGCCTGGGTAACAAGAGTGAAACTCCGTCTCAAAAAAAAAAAAAAAAGTAAGGGTGTTCACTCCATTCCCATCTCCCCTTAAAAAACAAATTGTAGCTTTTTCCACTAGGCTAAAAATATCACTTACATGTGTAATACTTTATTTTTCTCCTTATCCATTATTACTAGATAGACAGCAACATGTGCTGACTTCTTGTACAAAAAAGGCTACTCAAAATCACCTTGACTATGATGGCTTGCAATTACAAAGCAGCATTTTCAGTTTTCTTCTCCTTGCGTACACTTACAGTTTGTACAAGTGGTTGTTTTGAAAAGCTAAATAGAACAAAACAAAATGGTCCATTCTTAACCTAACTATTTAATTTGTACTAATTACCTTGTGCTAAAAGAAATGATGAGCAAAATGCTTTTTAAAATCCTTTGTTACTGATTAAAGATTGCGTTGCTTCTCTTTGGAAGGCTTCATTACTATGAGTCTATTAAATATAGCTAAAATTTAAAAGTACAGGATTGAAAAACTACCCTGGTGTTTATGTCCAAATAGAGAATATCTTTCCTCTGATTTTCACCAAAGAAATTTACAGTGTTTTGTTTTTTTTTTTGTTTTCTGTTTTTTGAGACGGAGTTTCGCTCTTGTTACCCAGGCTGGGGTGCAATGGCCCGATCACGGCTCACGGCAACCTCCGCCTCCTGGCTTCAGGCAATTCTCCTGCCTCAGCCTCCTGAGTAGCTGGGATTACAGGCACGCGCCACCATGCCCAGCTAATTTCTTGTATTTTTAGTAGAGACGGGGTTTCACCATGTTGACCAGGATGGTCTCGATCTGTTGACCTCGTGATCCACCCGCCTCGGCCTCCCAAAGTGCTGGGATTACAGGCTTGAGCCACCGCGCCCGGCCTTACAGTGTTTTTTTTTTCAAGTTTATCAGAGACTTAAATATATTCATTTTATCCATACTTAGGCATACTTTAATTTCTTCTTTTCTATATACTGGCTAGCTTTTCAAAAATAGTAATAGTTTAAATACATTGTTCCAAAAATAGATTAAGTGTTTTTATTTGATGAGTTTTGCATTATAGATACCTTTCTAGATGTATATTAAATCAAAGCATTTGTAAGGATGCAGGCTGACACTGATATTTCAGGTTTATAAATTTAACTAAAAACTGGTAATGGGTAAAAACAAATGGAGACTATATATCATAAATAATTACCAATATAGATATTTTAAAGTTTATTTGCAGTTTCACAGTTTTCATGTATGTTAAGAATCACAATAATGTAAAGCAAGTTGGCTCAGAAAATATGAAAAATAATATTTGTTTTCAGTTTTCCACTTGTCAATCTAAATGCAGAATATACCTTGAATGTATTCCAAAATTTTGATACATATATCAGTATGGATGTGCACATTTCTACTATCATATTTAAGCTTTTACTTATTATAGACTTTTTTTGCAGTCATGTAATTGATAACGATAAGCAAGGAATGTTCATCATTGCATGTTTACACATGTAAATTGTTAAAATTCAGATAAGTTAGATTCAATGACATATAGATAAGTTATATGTCAACACAATAGAATACTATGCAATCACTAAGATGATGATATAGGTTGATATTTATTGTCATGAAAAAATGATTATAGTTCAGTTTAGAATTAAAAATACAGAGCAGTACATATAGTATGGCTTTTTTGGTCAAAATGCTTGTGTATACATAGGAGAAAAGCTATGAAAAGATATTTACACATTGAAAATATTGTTATTTCTGAACTGTGGAAACTTCACTTCCTTCTGCATTGTGTACATCTTTTACAATGAGCATGTGTTATGTTTATAATCAATAAAAACAGTGATTTCCTTTTTGAAAATATTAGAAAATGAATAAACCTGTAATTTATAGATAAACGAATACACAGAAACAACTTATTGTCATTATTTTATGGTTAAAGAGCTGACAAAAGTGTTAACAAAATGATATATTTACTTTGTACTGTGTATGAAAACGAAGATTTGTATATAAGGTAATAAAACTAACAGTAGAGACAAAACATATTCTAATAGTTGAATCTATGGCATAAGTGAATCATATTATAAAAAAGTAATTGTTTAAATTTTACATAAATTAGGTATTTCTTCTTCCAAAAAGGACTTGAACTAGTATATATTTTTAAAAAGGTAATACAAAAAATAGAAAAATAAGTGTAGTATGAATGGAGGGCAGACAATGAGAAGAACAGAAAAACTGCAAGTGAAATGCAGAGAATCTCTAATTTAGAAATTACAGGCTAATTAATGTAACTGCAACATTGAACAAAATATTCTTTTTTAATTTTCAAGCAGTCAAGACATAAGAAGAACCATACTGATTTCACAGTACTCATATAATGGCTGAAGGCATATGACTTAATCCAAGAGACAAGCTATTCCTTACCTTCGAAACATCTGTGACTATTACCAAAAGGATACTTCGGAGAATTTACAAGAGATAAGTTTAATAGAAGGTGTCCTTCCAAGAAGTTTTTCAACATCATTCTGTGGAATATTTGCCTTTTATATTGACAGTTGATAAAAGCTGAAGGTAAAATATTAAATTATTTCTAGGTAAAGGCAATTCAGTGCATTTATTCATCTTTCTTGTTAATTTAACATGAACCAAGTATATGTACTAAAGAATTTAGAAAAATGAATAGTAGGAGTGGTACTGAAAGTATACTCAAATACCAAATCTCTTAGGAAAGGATTTTAAGATGCAATTCATACTTTAAATAGCTACTGCCTAAAGTGTTAATTTTCTAAGTGACTAGTTCAGAAAACACCAATATGCTTACTTCTTTGGGCAAGAAGTTAATATGACCACTCTGAACATTTAGTCAAAAGTACTATCAAGTCTGTATTTAGTATGCTCACAACATATTAAAAAATGAAACAAGAATCTAAATAAATAAAAGAAATTTAATATTTCATTAAAAAACATTCATTTTGCATAATTTTAAGTGAAATTGTGCAGATGTTAATTGGATCACATATATTTTCCACTGCTCTACTGACTTCTAAAAGCAAGTTAGAACTTTTCACTGTGGTTGACTCAGAAGAAACATGTTGACAATATTTACATGAAAAAAATTGAATTGAATATTATTGAAATAAGAAGGGAAATATACTCAATCAATTGCCTCACCTCGACTGTTCAGGGGAAAAAAAGTGGAGGAATACACTTTATTCTACATATTTCTAAGGATATTACATCAAAAAATGTACAAAATGACAATTTTACAATTAGAAATTATGCTCTTTAATAAAATGGACAAAGTTTTCTAGTTTTGCATTTTTTTCAAAAGAAATAATTCACTTAAAAAACCTGCTAATTAGCATAAAATAACCCCTTATCACAAAAGAGCCCAAACTAAGTAGGCACCAACTAAGGCTGAAACAAATTGATCATTCTTATTCTCAGCACCTGCGCCTGGCCTGGCCCAGGGTGACATGCAGGGGCTTGGAGCCCACTATGCGACCATTCATCTCATCCACTGCTTTGGTGGCCTCTTCAAAAGAGGAAAAGCAGACGACACCAAATCCTTTGCCTTGCCCCACTTCCATCATCACTTTGGCCCGACTAATTGACCCAAAGGAAGAAAATTCCTCCTTCAGTTTTTCATCATTGATTGTCTCATCCAAGTTCTTAATATAGATAGGCACCCCTGGGGGCCGACTTTTTTCTTTTAACCTCAGCCGTTCAAATCTCCGCCTCAACTCAGCCAGGCGTTCAATTTTCTTCTGCGCTCGCCCTACATAGAGGACTTTTCCATCGACGGACTTTCCATGTAAGTCTAGCACAGCCTTTTGGGCAGCCTCGTGTGTCTCATATCTCACAAATCCAAAACCTTTAGATTTCCCACTGGCATCTCTTATTACTTTAACACTCTCGGTTGGCCCATATTCACAGAAAAGTTCCTTCAGTTTTTCATCATCTATGTCCTCTCCAATGTTTTTAACGAAAACATTGGTGAAAGTTGCTCTATCCCTGGTTCTGACCTCAGCCGCCCGCTCTTCTGGGAATTTGAATCTGCCAACATACACCTGGCGGTTGTTGAGCCGCACTCCATTCATGTGCCAGATGGCTCTATTGGCAGCGGCCAGGCTGTCAAAGTGCACGTAGGCATAACCCTTAGAGCCGTTGTCATCGCATACGACTTTGCAGGACAGAATGTTCCCAAAAGCAGAAAATAAGTAAAACAGGGCCCTATTGTCTATGGATTTGTCCAGGTTTTTGATGAATATATTTCCCACTCCAGACTTTCTTAAGCGGTCATCTGGCTGAGACCACATAAGGCGGAATGGCTTTCCATTAATCAAATCAAAATTCATGGTGTTCAAGGCCCACTCTGCATCCGCAGGAAAGCGGAAGTTAACATAACCATAGCCCAGGGGGCTGCGGGTCACCGGATCACGGCAGATTCTGGTGAATCGCAGAGGGCCAGCAGGCCTGAACTTCTTATAGAGCATGTCCTCGGTGACATCTGGGTCCAAGTCACCCACGTACAGAGCGGCCTTGAGATACTTCTTTTTCTTGCCAGCAGGATTAGGCTCCCCGCTCCCCATCTCTCTGAGCACTGGGAGGAGGTTCTCTTTGGAGAGAAAAAAAGGCTGCTTTCTCTAAGCTATGGGCCAAACAGCTGTTCACGAACAGAAAAAGCCAAGGCAGGCAAAAGGAAGCTAAAAGCAGACTCAGAATCACTGTCGAGGCTGAGAAAATGAAGTTCAGAAACAGCTGGTCAGCAGGCTCAGAACAAACACATCAGACAAAAAGGCGCCCCAAATACGAATCTATTCTCCCTGGGGGGACTTAAAATTGTCACCCTTTCAGATTTAAAATCAGTTTCAAAAGCCAGTACTAGAAACGGAATTTTCCTGAACCCCTGAAATTGCAAGAAACCACCAAGCAGCTGGCTGGTTCCCCACAACTAGCATTGCAGACAGAGGCCTCCCAACCCGTTTTCAGCATAAATACAGGCCTAAAGCTCCTGTTGGTTTAAAATGATATCAACAAGGGCAGGAACCGAGAGCGTATTCCTCCGCCGGCTGCCTGGCCAGTCTCGGGCTGGCTTGCCTTTCACTAAGGCCGCTCCGCACTCAGAGTCTGCGAAAGGGTACACTAGACACTTGGTGCGATAAGACCGGCAGGCAGGCTGCAGGCAGCGGATAGGACACAGAGACAGACAGACAGACACACGCGCGGGGGATCGAAGACCGCCCAGATACCCAAGATGCCCACTGGGTACGGACCGAGTGAGGCGCGGTGATTTCGGCAGCCTGAGGCTCGAGGCAGGTCCGGAGAGACTGACTGGCAAACGTGCAGTGAGTGGGTCAGCTCTGACGCGAGGCGGGTCTGGACAGATGCGGGGCGGAGTCAGCGAAGAAGGGCAGATGCGCGGCGGGCGGTCCCAGCGCAGACGGATGGGCTGGAGTTTCTCACCGCAGGACAGTCCAACGTTGGGACCAAAAGCCAGTAGCAGTGATAGGGAGCCGGGACGGGCGGGGCGCAAGAAACCCGGAACCGTGCTAAGTAACTTCCCGCTTGCTCTGTGCCAAGATTAAAAAAAAAAGAAAGAGAGAGAGAGGGGGGGGGGGCAGAGAGACAGACAGAAAGAGAGACAGAGAGAGAAAGAGAGACAGAGAGAAGACGGAAGAAAAAGAAAAATCTAAGATGGTTTTTAGATGTTTCTTATATTTTAGATGTTATTTATTATTTAAAATACTATATGTAAGCTGATCTTCTAAAAATCATGTAAGAAGATGACGACCAGAGCAAAAATAACTAATAAGTTTTAAAAAACAAATTCTCAAAATAATTTTAGCTTAGGGAAAAGGATAGGTTGCATACTTTCCTGAGTGCCCTGGAAAGTCAAAGTTTGTAACTGTACTGGCCTCTCAATCCAGTGCCAAAGGATCACAGGGTCAAGTAGAATACACATCCATGTTGCCTTTGGCCTTTAGCCTTACTTAATTAATCTCCAACATAATGGTAATATTTTCCCCAGGTGGTAAGCAAAGAGATCTTTTCTCTAATCCCATAATACTGAGGTTTTAATGATTAGAGAACCGTATAACGGCTTTTGATGGTGTTTAGTGCCACAAAACGTTGAAACTGTTGAGCTGCCGCCAGAATTACAGAGACAAAATATCAGTAAAAGAGATAAAAACCACAGAATCAATACAAAATATATAATTAATATTTATAGATGGAATAAACATGTTAAGATATATGCACTTTCCACAATTACGAATTTCAGCATGAGTTGACAACTTGAAACCCTTGAAGGATACAGTGCCATCAGACTGGACTCAACTCAGTGGTTTTTTAACAGTATCTTTCTTCACTCAGAGTATTTGAGAAGTCCTTATGGAGAGAAACTTTGACCGTGTTTTCAGAAATTCACCGATATCTAGCATACACAAACAATACTTCAAGGAGCTCTTTCCACAACTCCTATCGCTCCAGAAAATCCAAATAAAACATTTTCTATGACTGCTCTTAGTCTGGAAAAGATCCTGGGAAAAAAAAGAGTGCAAGAGAAGGACAGTACCTTAGTGTGTGTTTTTCTAATAAGTCCTCAGAATAACAGGCTAAATTAATGTACTGATTCACTTTATACATTTTACAGTGTCTATTAGGCTGTAGAGTCAAATAAAGACATTAACCCTCATTATTTACTCAGAAACTTAGTGATTTTCTTTCCTATTTTTTCTTGCTTCATTTCTAGTGTTGTTGGTTAGGTAAGACATGGAGATTTTGAGAAAAGGCAAATATGAACAACAATATTATAGACTAATAAAATGGTTTTACAATACGATCAGAGGGACTAACATGCAGGGATACTTGTGAACATTGCTTGCTTTATTGCATTTTGAATGTATTTTTATAAACATATTTTCTTATATACATAATTAACAATGGGATAGAACTCTAGTCTATTAATACTTTTCTCATTTTAAAAATTGCCTTATTGAAAATGCTACAGGATTATAACATAAATCCAATTCCCACCATCTCATCATTGATCCAAATCAATATTTTCATCTGTTCATGTAACCATCTAAATGTCGTCCATATTCAAATTTATTTGCACATATTTTCTCTAAGATTATAGTTAGAAATGATATGTTAAAATACACATTTTCAAAATAATTGCTTCTCAACACTTACCATTTCCATTCAGCATAGCAGTGGAAATTTTAGGCAGAGCAGTTAGGCAAGAGAAAGAAACAAAAGGCATCAAAATGAGAAAAAAGAAAAGTAAAACATCTTTGTTTGCAGCTGACATAAACTTATCTATAGAAAACCCTAAAGTCAAACATTCTTAAAATCTTCATACTACCAAACTGATTAATACAATCCCTATCAAAAACCCAATGACATTTTTTTTTACAGAAATAGAAAAAACAACCTAACATTCATGTGGATCCACAAAAAAACCCTGAATAACCAAAGCAATCTGAGAAAGAAGAAAAAAGCTGGAGACACCATTCTTCCTGATTTCAAAACGTATTACAAAGCTACAGTAATTAAAACACTGTTGGACTGTCATAAAAACAGACATATAGGTCAATGAGGCAGAATAGAGAGCCCAGAAATAAACCTACACATGGACAGTTAACTGGTCTTTGACAAAGGTGCCCAGAAAACACAATAAGGAAAGGATTGTCTCTTTCACAAATGGTGTCTCTTTCACAAATGGTGTTAAAAATTTGGATATACATAAAATTGGACCCTTATCTTACATTTTACACAGAAATCAACTCAAAACACAGACTTTCCACCTAAGATCCGAAACTACAAAATTTTAGAAGAAAACAGGGTGAGAGATTCATGACATTGATCTTACCAATGACTTCTTGTATATGGCACCAAAACACAAGCAAAAAAAAAAAAAAAGTTTAGAAAAGCGAGACTACATCAAATTAAAAGCTTCTGCACAGCAAAATAAACAATCAACAGAGTTTAAAGGCAACTTCCAGAATGGGAGAAAATTTTTGTAAAACAAATATCATTAATGTCTCCAAAATAAAGAAACTTTTACAACTTAGCAAAAACAAACAAATAAAAAACAACTTGAATAGTAATCTTTCCAGAGAGGAAATACAAATGGCTAATGAGGAAATGAAAATATGCCCAACATCATAATCATCATTGAAATGCAAATCAATCCCTTAATGAGATGTCACCTCACATCTATTGAGATGGCTATTATAACAAATCAAAACACAGCAAATGTTGGCAAGGATGTGGAAGAACTGGAATCCATCACTGTCGGTGGGAATGTAGAAGTGGTGCAACTGCTATGGTAAACAGTATGGAGGTTCTTCAGAAACTTAAGTAGAAAGTCCATATAAACCAGCAATCCTACTAGGATTGCTAAATCCTTACAAGGTGACATGTAACCCGACTCCTGCAAATTGCCAACACATGTTCTCTACCCTGCCCCCACCACAACTAACTGAGTTAATATGTATCCAAGTTTATGTATATCCAAATTGGATAGTAATCACATATATTAGGTATATATTCAAAGTAATTGAAATCAGAATCTCAGAGATATTTGCACTCCCATGTTAGTTACAGCATTATTTACCATAGCATTGTTTACAGCATTATTTAAAGCGTTATATACATCATGGAAACAACATAAATGTCCACTGATGATTGAAATGGATAAAAAAATGTGGGATATACATACAATGGAATATTATTCAGCCTTTTGCAACATGCGGCAACAGGAATGGACCAAGCCACTCACAGAGGGACAAATAGTGCATGATTCCATGTCAATGACATATTTATTCTAAATAGACTCATAGAAACAGAGTAGAGTGGTGGTTGGGAGTGATTACTGGAGGGGAACTGGGAAATTCAGTGGATATAAAGTTTTAGTTACACAAGATGAGTAAGTCCTAGAGATCTGCTTTAAAACATTGTGCATATATTTAACAATACCATATTATGCTCTTAAAAAGTTGGTTAAAAGGGTTGATCTCATGTTAAGTGTTCTTATTATAATTTTAAAAAAATAATTCAACTGTGAAGAAATCTGGGTATTAAAAACATATAATAATATAACAAGTTTAAATATATTTTAGTTTGGCATTTCCTCAGGGTGATTTTTTATTTTAAAATATTTACTTGACAAAGATGGTCTATATTCAAGATGTACAATGTGATGATTTGATACATGTATAGGGTGCCCTTTTAATCAAATCCTATTAGTTTAAATGAATACTTAGAATAGTACATGTGAATTTATGCAATTACTGTGTATTCAGAATCCAGTGTATTCAGAGTTTTATATATAATCAAGCTATTTTCTGTTATGATACATTGAAATAAGGTAGGCGAGTATCGCCTACTTAGCAGATAGTCTCAGACAAATGTCTGTTTCCTTGCTAGTGCTTGTTAACTGAACATATGTCTCATGTAGGGAAAATACATATTCACCACATTCTCTGATTAAAAATCTTGATTAGTAGTCATTTCCCTTGACCTAGAAGAAGAAATAAAAGAAAAATAATTTTAAAAGATGTGAACATTATGCTTTATCTTAAATTTCAAAATTGTTGTAAAATACATGTAACAATTTACCATCGTAAAGCTTTTTAAGTGTTTAAGCGGTATTAGAAACATTCACATTGTGCAACCATCATCACTTTCTAGCTCTAGAGCTCTTTTTATCTTGTTAAACTGAAACTCTATACTCATTAACCTATGCTTTTAGTTGACACTTAAAATACGTTAAACTGTTTCTCTCTTGTTGTACATTAAAGCTGCTTTTAGTTATTTTAGTATTATAACAAACAATGCTATAATAAACACCCACATTCACTTAATTTTATATATTATTGGTTCTATTTCTATTAACCAGATTGTAAGAAATGGGGATTCTACAATTAAACGGTATATATATAATTAAATGTTATTATGTACTGTTAAATTTGTTTCACAAAAAACATGAAAAATCGAGGACCTGGCCAATTTCTAAAAGAAGAGAAATTATCAAATTTGATTCAAAGGCAAAAAAGAACCATAGTGATAGAAAAGATTGCTGAATGATTACACATATGCTACTAAAAAAAACAAACAGGCACAGGTGATTTTATAGTTGAGTACTGTTATATAACCTTTAAGAAAACATAAGGCCGGGCATGGTGGCTTACTCCTGTCATCCCAGCACTTTGTGAGGCCAAGGCAGGAGACTTGCTTCAGCCCAGGAGTCCAAGAGCAGGGTGTTCAACCTGGAAACATTCCTAAACGATTAGCTGAGTGTGGTGGCAGGCACCTGTGTTCGCAGCTACTCAGTGCGGTGAGAAGATCGCTTGAGCCCAGGAACGGAGGCTGCAGCAAGCCATGTTCATGCCACTACATTCCAGCCTAGGCAACAGAGTAATACTGTCTTAAAAAAGGAAAGAAAATACATGTGGAGCCAATGGCATTCCAGCCGTAAAAATGCATATCTACATATCTAACTATAAAAGTTCCTGAATCATTTTTAT